AAAAATATTACAACTTGCTTTTTCTCAGTTCCCTTTACTCGTGGAATTGCCCAGTAAAGAGATGAATTTTCCCCTTCAGTAAAAGGTTGGGAGATATAAAAGCAACAACAATGCCAAATATGGGATAAAGTTTTAAATCTTCAATCTTGAGCATCATTGCCTTTGAACTGTTAAAGAATTATCTATTCTTTTTACACGCTTTTTTAAAGTCTCTTCAAAAGCTTTTTCAGTGCTGATATCTGCGATTTATAATTTCATCACCTGTGGACGACAGGCTTGAACTACTAAATTTAATAATTTGGAATCCCTAAGACTAAGCAAGATAAGTTGTCAGTGTGATGTCAGGAAGGAATCTTGGGTATCGAGCTAAGCCTGTGTAACAGAGTGTTTAGACATCAGGCCAAATATCTGTAAACCTCTTTTAAGGGGATGCGGAATCGATTCCCACAAGAAAACTAATATAAAGAGTGTGTCGATATGACAAGGATTCGTTCACACAAACGGCCTGTTTCACTAAAGTGGATTATCCTCGATTTCGGATTATCCACTTCAGTTTTTTGAAAATATCTCCACTTAAGGTTATTAAGAGATCTAATGTTTGATCTAGTTAGAGTACTTTGCTACTTAAATTAACATATACTTAGAATTTTTATATCTTCATTAGTTTGAGAATTATAGCAAAAATCGAAGTTAATCTACTATATTTGCCTAGAAAATTGAATAATTAATACTTCTTAACGAAAAATATAAGTTTATTACACATTATAATCCGAAATCAAGGATAAACCACTTTAGTGAAACAGGCTGAAAGTTCTCGACATTATAGTCAGGACTTGGTGATTGCCTGCGTAGACTGTCAAATCAGCACCATTACGAATATTTTAGAAATAAATTTGAAAGCAGCTCGCATATTTAAAGCAAAATCTAATCATACAATCGAAAATAAATTTTTTTATAAATCTCTCGAATTAATTTTAAATCCGAGAAGATTTCAAACTCATAAATTTTTTGGTTCTTCGATATTTTTCATATTTTTGTGCATGAAGAAAAATGCGCACTCACGTGTTTATTATCATTCTTTACAGCAATCAATAAAAATATATATTGTACTGTTTCAAAAATGCGATAATTTTTTGAAAAGAGGAAAAAAAAACGAGAATTTTAAAAATAAACTTAGTGATATAAGAAATAACGGAAGTATAATTGATAACTAAACGAGAACAATTGAAAAATAACAAAAAAACGTAATCAATAAAAGATAATAAAACGAGAAAAAAATACAATTATGCTATTTTTCAGCACTAAAAAAATCGTTTAAAATGTAATATAGAGAAGTGATAGAGACATTTATTGACTTGTAAATCATTCAGAGAATTGATGCTTTTTTCAATCTTACATACAGAGTTCGTGAAAGATTAAAAATAAATGCAAAATATCTAATTAAGTAATTTACTTCCATCAAATTAATAAATTTTGTAATATTTCAGTTTTTTTTTTTGATTTGTCGATTTTTTTAGAATATTGAACACATTTAAATTTCTAAAAACTTCTATTGCGTAGGTGAAAAGTAGGAATAATGATTACTTATACATCATTTAATTATATAGTTTTCCCGAAAAATAACGTGTTTGCTTTTTCAGAGCTCAATTTAAAAATAATCAATAATTATTATTTTATTTTTTTTGTATACATTTTATATAGTTTAAGAGAGAATCAAATAAATCAGAAAGAAAAATTAAACGTTTTTATATTTTTTGTAATACATTTTAAAGGGGGGAATAAAATTGAAAATCGGGGAAATTTTACTAAAAAAATAATTTTCAAGCATCTACAATCGAAATTCTATTCGTAAAATACATTCAATGATCGTTGTATGTAGCAAAAGTAGAGATGATTTATGAAGACACTATTGCTGTCTTGAAGGAAGACAAGACAGTTTTCATGAACTAATTTCTATAACCGCAATATCTCATCGGACTGAAAGCTAAGCTCTCACATTAAAAATATATATTTTTTTATGTAATTTATGTGCTCGTGAGTCATGTTGACGATACTCATTGAACTTGCGAATGAAAATTGTCAATAAAAGTTTTTTTAATTACCAATAGACCGTAATTGACTTACTGTCGGAATTAAATTTCATTTTATCGGACATTTTAATCGCTAAAGCTATCAAAAATTGATAAAAAAAAAGTTTATCCCGTAATTTAAAAAATAACTTTGTGACTCATAATTTGAACATTTTATCAGTAAAGCACTTAAATCTCGAATAATGCAGAGTAAAATTTTATGATTCTAGTTTGAAAGATAAATCGAGGAATGATTATTTCTGAGTCATACGAAAACCAATTTATGGTTTTAACCAACTAAAATTCATGTCTTACAAACCAAGAAAGGTTTGAATATAATTGCTGTAATTATAAAACTTTTACAGAACCCAAATTTGGTGCTTAAATGAACTTAAATTTTAATTTCTTAACGAGACATCATTGTCGATAAAAAAATGTCTAATTTCATAATTGGAATATAAATAAGTCATAATTCTATTTAGCGAGCTTAGTAAATAACTGTTAATGACTCTCTCAATAGACGAATTAAAAAGGTATTTTACTCATATTAAAGAAAAGATTGTAAATGCTTAAAAATTAATGAATATTCTTAGATCATTTTAATCCAGGAATAAAAGTTTTATATATATATAAAAGAAATGTATACCGAGGGGGGTAGGGAAGAGGGAAGATAAAGAAAATAATAATCAAAATAAGAAGTTTTTGAGAATGAAATTATGACAAAATAATAATAATAATCGTCGAGTAGATCGAGATATAATTTACCGATGTTGATAAACAGGAAAGAAAGAATAAATAAAATAATTTTCTGGCAAATCAATCTCAATTCACGAAAAATAAATAGAGAAAGAAAGAAAAATAGTGGAATTAAGAAGTAAGAGAGAAATTAAGAAATAATTTAAATATAACAACGAAAAGAGAAGAAAAATGAAAATTTTATAGAAAGAAACTTAAAAATCTTTCTCTCAATTTCACGAAGAATACTCGCTACGATAATAAAATTGTCAAATTGAAATAATTTCTTACCATCGGCTGCAAAATTGTTAACAATTTTTTCATATATCATTTTTTTGTGTTGTAAAAATGCCGAACAAAAGTTTTTATTTTTTTTGTGATATTTTTATACGAATAGAAAATTTTTTGTTGCCAAAAAAAAGGGAAGAGAGAAAAGAGAAAAAAATTTTGATGTTATAAAAAAATTAATATTTTCGTTGTTCATTTTATATTATTATTATTATTATGTATCGTAAAAAAAGAGGAAGAAAAGAAGAAGAAAGAAAAAAAAGTTGTTTTTTTTTCCTTCTTGTGTTATTAATGATTATCGTTTCTCAATGAAAATAAATTATTAGGACAGATAGTAGATGCAGTATTAAATTAAATTAAAAATTATTTGACAGATAAATCTCATATTTTGTTCTTTTTAAGGCTTATACACTCACGAAAATTCTTGAAGCTTTTTCTGTCGCTCTTCATTTGAATCAAATTTTTCGTTCACATCACAAGATCTCGAACAAAAAAATTGAGAAAGGTTAATGTCACGAAAATTTTCCACAGCTCTCATTTTTCATCACTTATTTTGAGATTTAAAAAAGAAAACAATTGACTGAATCTGGTTAGATGCGTTTGGTAATTAATTACTGAATAATTATAAGAAAAAAAGCTCATTATCTCCCTTAGTGAGCTTTCAAGCAGGAATGTCATTAAATGTTTTGTTCAAATTCTACTCCAAGCTCTTAAAACATTAAACAGCTCTTAATGACCATCACTGCTACTTTATCTGACAATCAAAGACAAATTCAAATTGTTCAAGTCAAGTTGATTAATTCTTGTCAATTACAGATGATTGATCTTTCTTCAACTTGATATTAATTTGATAACCAAATTAATTTAATTGCGTCTATCAAACTGATATGATATAATTATATTTATCAATCTGTAAACTTGATGATAAAAAATGGAACAGCCATAATAAAATTACGAATTCGTGTATTTTTCTATTTATATAACCCGCGATGTCAATGACATCATAATTGGAATGTTTACATTCGAAACTTTATAGTAGATAGAAAATAAGTGTCTAGATTCAGTCAATTGATCATTTCAATTATCAAGCTGATAATTTTCGAAAACATTATCAAAATTGTTATAATTCAAGCTTTTCATGTCGACTAAAAGCGATTCAAGAATTTTCTGTCTCATGTATACACCTTAAATTGTCGCTAGATTCGCTAGTACAACTCTCGCGTGATTCTTTCATTAATATCACCATTAGTCTACTTGAGAAACTATCATACTAGTTCTGTGAGAATAAAGCTCTGAATTTTTTTTTATATATTTTTCTCGCGCGCGCTACAATTATTTTGCGTGATGTAATTAATAACCAACGAGGTAGTAAATAGAAGCGAGCAAAATAAAAATTGTATGAGAGATGAGAAAAAAAAGTATTTTTGTTGTGTCGCTATTTGTACATAAAATGAGGAACATCACACAAGTTAAAAATACAATAATTTAAATTTCAATATGTTTAAACGTAGGCGATGAAAATTCAAGAAGATAAAAAGGTAAGTTTGAAGTCCCTCATTTGTACAGTCAAAATGGGATTATCAGTGAATACTTGACATCGAAGTCAAGGGCAGTCGTGTGTCGTCACGACATACATTTCACTCACAGATAGATAGATTTGTAAAAACGTATTAACTCATATGTGAGAATTGTAAATAATATTGACATTCCGAGTCGAATTAAGAAAATATGTATTAATGCTGAGAGGAATAATATTTATTTATTTTTGCGTGGAGAGAAGGAAATAAATTATTATTATTATTTTTTGCGGAGATATGATTAATAAATGGAAAATATATAAAATATAATCTATAAAAAAGTGAATGAAGGAAGGAATTAAGAATAAAAAAATAAAATTTGAACACTGACCTTCCTCTAATGTGTCATCGCTCTCACTCATCAATTCATCATCCGAGCATATGTTAAGTACATTAACCAGCATCTCTGTAACCTTTTCGCCCACAAATGGCAGCGACCAAGTAAATACATCCATAAAGTTTGGAAGCCAATAAGGATGTGGCGAACAGTTAAACTGTCTTATATTCATTACATTATTTTCATATTTAAGGACAGCAGCCTGTCATGTATACACACATATTTGTGAATATGCGAAATGGATGAAAGAAAAAGAAAAAGAAGAAAACAGAAAAAAAAAATCAATTTTTGTATCCATTTCTCTTGAGCTTATAATATAAAACTATGGAGAAAATTACATAAAATGAGACATAGAGTGTACGATAGAGATGGAGAGAACTAATAATCATATGATATTGACTCGTGGTTATTATCAGTTCCATTTTTATGCACACAAAAGGGAGAGCATATTGTGAACATTTTGTCTATTTCATTCATAATCGAGTCATTTATATAAAAGCGCCGCAAGGAAATGAATGCTACTGAAGGTCTTTTTCATTTTGGTAAGGAATATATGTAATCATCGTTTCATTATCACATATGGGTATATTCAGCATATGTTTACACACACACGTACCTTATTATTATACACATCCAAATAGTTAGGTGCTGAAAAAATTGTTATAAGAGATGGAAAACCGGTGGTAAGACTCTTTCGATACATTCGATATCTAAACAGATTGGGGAATAAAAAAAAGAAAATCGGAAATTAGTAATACAAATTCAATACGACAGCAATAATAATAATAATAATTACCCAGCATCTTGAGCCTCGTGAGCACGAATGATAGATAACAAATTGTTATTTTGCAAAAAATCACAACACGCCCGATAACTATAAAAGTATGAACATCCACGAACGGTATTGTGTGAATAAAAGTCGGTATTTTTCTCATTGCCGAAATCCTCTAATGGATCACTCCATAATAAATCGCACATTGGACCATAAGCCGGTGGTTCCTTGAAACGATCAAGCTTTCTTATATCATCCAAATCCTGAATTTCCGGTGAAAGACCTCCATGCACACACAAAAATTGTTGATTCATTAATGCAGCTAATGGCAAACAATCGAAAGCATCCATGCACGCATCGTAAACACGTTCTGAATATTTAATTTTACCTAAATTACAAATGACGAGAGAAAAAAAAAGGGAAAAATGAAAACGGATGTTTAGGGAAATTAATGTCTCTAGTTCTGCGGAAAATGACCCTTGTTGTCTCTCTCTCTTTGTCTGCTTCGCATATAAGTGACAATATTAAGCTTGTCTTTAGCACAAAATTAATATAATTATCACAATCATCACGATCATTATTGAAAATATTTTTATTGTCCTTCATGTCTTTCTCTATTCCCACCTTATTATTATTATTATTTTTTTGCTGTGCTTATCCGTGCTACAATTGCGTTGAGACAGAAAAAAAAGTCTTACAATGCAATAAATAAAATTAGCGTTCACATAAATGTTTGCAGTAACTAGCAAAGCTGACATGTATGAATTAGAGCACGAAGAAAATATGAAGGAGAACAAGCAGTCATTAGTGATCATGAATATAATTTTTATGGTCTTTATTGTTTTTGTCATGTCTAAATCGAGTCGATATAATTTTTTTTTATTTGAAAATTACTTCTACTGCTTCAGCAGTCACAATAAGACTTAGGAATCTCAGAATATTCCGTTCACAATCAATTCTATTGTGCAACAAGCCTTATTTATCCGTAACGTAATTGACGTAGTAAAAGAAACACGAAAGGAGTTGAGAGAAAGGCAATTCAAGTATGTTTGATATAATAAAGCGTAAAATGTTGTCACCTTAATGAATAGTTTTATATGCATGCAATTAAATGCTCAACTTACATTCTTGCTTAAAAGTAAAATATTCAGTCAAATGCCGACATTCATGATTGCCCCGCAATAGAAATAATGTTGTTGGATAACAAATCTTCAGCGCCCATAAATATAGTACGCACTGTATAAGAAGGAATAAGAAAAAAAAGGTCAGCTGAGTAAAGCAAAAATAATAAATAAATCAATATTGAACGTACCTCTATGCTAAAATAGCCTCTGTCAACATAATCACCGAGAAATAGATATTTGGTCGTTGCTGGTGATCCGCCAACTTCAAATAACTTCATTAGATCGAAAAATTGACCGTGAATATCGCCGCATACAGTGACTGGAGCTTCAATATCAATCATCGTATTTTCAGCTTTTAATAATGTAGCGCCCTCTTGAATAATGCGCAATGCTGTCGTTTCATCTACTCTACCCTCTGCGATAAAATACTTTTTCAATAATTCTAAATTCGGTTGTCCATTTCGGCCAACAAACACCTCGGCGACAGTTAATTTATGTTTTGGTGGAAATTTAACGCCTAAAAAAAGGAGAGATGAAAAAATAGAAACAATGAGCTGACTGTTGTAGTCAGAATTTATAAACAAACAATAGAATACGTCGACGACTACGACGAAGAATCGAGAGCATTTAAACTATATGGATAGAAGGAAGACAAGAAGAAAAAACTCATAAAAGATAGACAGCATGACGATGAGCAGCAAAGAATAAAAAGGGAATTTTAAATATGCACACTACATAATATGTTCCGTTCTGCTCATAGTGAATTATGTTGGATATGTGATATGAGCGTGAGAAAAAAGAAATGGGATTTTTCGCATGCTTTCAAGCTTTAAATCTTCTTTTTCGTCACCTCAAATCTTCCTTGACTAACTAGCAAGTGATTTTAAAAAGAGAAAATTGGAGCAATTCAGAACTTTGCACGGGACATCCATGATTTATGGATTTTGTTGCTACGACGACAGATTAAGGACATCGATCTACAGAAAAAAACGTAAGTTTTTGGCACACAAGAGAGTACTGCAGAAATGCTGCAACGCAGATTTTTTTTTATTTCTTTTTTTTTTTTTGTGTGTGAATCAATTGCCAGTGTCAATTTTGACAACATGCATATCTTTCTTTTATATTCACAAATGTGTGAATGTGTGAAGCAGCTCCGATCAATCACGATAATTTATCAGACAAACATAATCCAATATAAGTTCAATTTCAGCATTAATTAACAAAATAGGGGATTCTAGTGCTCATTCGATTTCTTCTTATGCCATTTAGCTCAATAAAATTGTTTATCGACCATATTTTATCTAATCTTTATTGGGTTTTAGATTAGAGAATTTCCTGCAAAGCACTTCCGAGAAACTCAAAAATAAATCTTCAAACAAATTAATACTTACTATCTACAACCCTATCCGTAGTTGATGGCTTCGATACTGGCGTTTCCGATTCTTGTTGCTGTGTTTGGTCTAATGATTGTTCTTGCTTAACAGACGACATTTTTGCTATTTATTATGTATTTTTTTAAATTAATTAATAAGACTTGTTTAGCGATTACACTTTTTTAAAATATTTTCTTCTTAATTTCCACTAATAATTATTTAATATTTGTTTTTATATATCCTGATTCGTTCTTTTTTGTTCTTCACTTGATATTTTTTAATTAAACACACACAAATGACTTAAAATTCGACTTTATGCTTGTTGTTTTGGGCTTCTTAACTTTTATAATATTTTCAATTTTTTTTTTGTATAACTTCGTAACTACTTTTTTACTTCTTCTTTAATTAATTTTTTTTAAACACTATGACGATTTTTTTTCATATAATTATTAACTACACAAATGATGAAAGAGCAGGCAACAGCAGCAGTAGCACAGAACGATAAGAGATACTGCAATGAAAAAAGATAAAGATTTTTATTTTAGACTCTGCGTTAGAAATAAATTTTATGAATGAATAAAACGAAGAGAAAAACTGGTTGAGAATTCACTGCTGTGTGCAAAGTGGGCGCATTTTTGTGATTCTACAGACAGAAACTTTAAGAATGTCAATATTGTGCATTCTTGTGACCCAATTTTGTTGTATTGTAGAGAAGATGAAAACATTTTTGTTTGTGCATAAACGACCTTGAAGGCAAGTTCTGAGGAATATTTTATGTAATTTTCGATTATTGCGGTAGTAAAAAAATGTCCCATGCTATTATAAAATGATATACTTTATTGTCAAAGCCATGACATGACCGTCTTAAGTTCTTTGATTTCACGTAATAATATTAAAATTTATTAGCCTAAGTGAGCTCATAAAAATCAATAAATTGGCACTTTATTCTATCGATTCATTAAAACTCACAGCAGATTAAGTGAAAATGTCTGTTAAAGCTTAATGTGGCGTAAAGACAACCACGTCACATGAATTTGTTATGTATGTTTTTAGTCATAGTCTACAATCCATGTCTGTCGAAATTTTATGATTTTATTACAAAAAAAAAGTCCAAAATTGACAACTAGTTTGGCAGACATTAGACGTCCAGATGAATAAGCAATGATGATGCGAATCAAAATATTAAATCGGAAATTCCAAAGTACGTAATAATCGACAGTCTAATTATAATACATTTTACGTTCATATCAAAGTTCATTTCATTCATTCTTGGATTTTATAAAATAACATCTATAGCTGGATTAAAGATTTAAGTATTTCTACAGCTGGAAAGTGATTTTCAAAAAATAACAAAAAACTTTAAGTTCTTCGTTCTTTCGCTCTCAGAAAACATCTCTAGGCACTAATTTCTTGTCTGCAACATGAACTGATGTACTTGTTTTAATTGAGTAGTGCCATTCAATTTAATTTTTGTGTTGCTCAGAAAGATTCATGAAATAAATTCCACAAGAAAGCTCCAAGCATGGCAATCCACACACAAACTTGCTAAAATATAATGAATGAAATGAGGAGCGCTGAGAAGGAGAAGAAAGAAAATTGCACAGTGGCATAATCAAAATAAAAATGTTTCTTGAAAATAGCTAGCACAGGCAACGTGAAAAACTGTTAAATGGTAATGGATACGCTCGAGATAATGCGAGACTCGAATCGTGATAAAATAATTTAAAAACAAATTAAATTTTTTGAATATCTTAAATTATTCAAGTCAGTATCAACTTCAGATTTTTCTCTTTATGATCACTTATTTCTTATTTCTTTTTTTCACGAATATATAAACACAGGTTTTTTAGAAACACAAGAATTGTGCTTTGCTTATGTGTCTCTCACATCTTCTTCTTGTTTCTTTTTTGGGTGTCTTACTGTTTTTTTTTCTAGTGTAGTAAATTAGTGTGATTTTCTAAAAAAAGATTTTATTCGGCATTCACTCTTTTTTTTTTTATATATTTTTTTTCTTTTCTTTTTCTCTATATGAGACGATATATTCTTTCATACTACCATGCGATTCATTCGATACGTTGTGTGTAGAACCGGTCTGATTAAAAATTGTGCGATAAATTTTAATTCAAATGCTTAGATATTTCATTTTAGATCCTAGAGCTTGTGGAATTGTTCACTTATTATGTCTAATAGTTTATCTTTAAGACAGTGCATTGTTAGAGTTTGCAGTCAAACTAAATGCTTAAAATATAAGGATCGACATCATTGCCTACCCCACTCTTCTCAAATTTATGAGTTTCGTTCCAACGAATGCCAATTCTTTAGCTAATTTACATTTGAATGGAAATAACATGCACGGAAACGAGTCACATTTAACAGCCAAGAATGAGATGTCAAATGTATGCACATAAAAAAGCGATAAGAAAAAAAAAATCAATTCTTTCTTAGAATTTTAGAAAATGTCAAACTTTTTTTTTATGGTGCTATATACTGTGCTGTATCCCTCACAAACTCAATTACTTAAATGTTTCCAAATAGTTTGCCATTTACTTTAAAATGATGTCCATTAAAAATTCACATGAAAAGTTTTCTAATTCGGGTTTCCTGTTGCAGACCCAGAATCATGAGGGTGGTTTACAAATCGCATGGTAGTTCGTGACCTTCAATCGTTAAGCATGTTTTTATTTTTTTTTTTATATATATTTTCACTTCGATCATTTTCAGATCTTCAGATGGGAGAATTTCTCTCAGTACATTCCGACACACATTATCGCTCTTTTTTCAAATGAAAGTGTCTATACAAAATATTCACAGAAACAAAAATTTATTGAGGGGCGGATAGTCAACACACAAAAAAGAAAATCTCATGACTTTTTAATTAGGAAAAATAAATTTTTTCGTTTCATTTTCACCACAACTTGTTACTCATAACTTTTGTGTCTATTGTACTTTTTTTTTTGTCATGATTAGTTATTATCTACTTGCAAGAAGTCAGTTCTTTTTTTATTTTAATTATCACCATCAAAATCAATAATCAAATATTTATGTATATATACATATCAGCACAAATAGCATGTATCACACTCATACACACACATTTTCTCCCTCAATATTCATTTTCTCTCTGTGGATATGCACATATTGTATTTAGGTATAGATTTTCAGTAGCACAATTTACTTCTCAATATACTCCGTATCGTTTATATTTGCCTCGGCCCCGTACGTACACACTTTATTAGAGTTTGTTGAATTTAGTTTAGTTTTTTTTTGAAATTGTTTGCTTACTCGCTACTTGCTAGTTTATGATTAAAAAGCAATGCGACATGCAATTAATTTAATTAAATGAAAGAAGAGAGAACGAGAGAGAAAGAAGTACAAAAACAAGTTGATAAGTTGTTGCTGCTGTTATTGTCGATTTTTTTTTATATAAAAGTGCATTTCTATTGTGCTAATCTAACCTCTCATTATTGACCTGATTAAATATCAAATTTCAAGGATTGATTTGTTATTCATACATTCACGAATAGTCAATATACACACTTTATGGTCTCTAACTTGATGATCTCATGTAAACCAAAATAAACTTAAATTAGCCTCTCTAATTGAATCCGCTTGTGTTAATTGTATGAAAATATTTGAGCAAATTTAATTGAATTAGACTTATCAACATCGTTATTATGGCAACTCTTCGTTGAGCTCTTTTCTTTGAAGTTCACAACAATTTGCGGATTGGGAGCAATTAGATTTTTAAAGCCATTTACTGACGACTGAGAAAGGATTTGAAGGGTTTTATGAAGGAATTGTAAGGTTTCAAGAGATTTTAAACATTTCAGGGGATTTTAAAATGAAAAAAAAAAAAGCTTTAAAACCTTTAGAATTTCGATTTAGAAAACTGTTGTTAGGTTTCAAACCTACACAAACATTTATAACGTTCTTGAGCACTAAAACATGAATTTTCATCTTTCTAGTTATGATGCAAAGAAGCTCAATTTCAATAATTAATGACGGAAAGTTGAGAGTTTTCCATAAAATGATGAAAATGATTTAAAAATGAAATGAAAATTTAATTTTCTTAGCTGACAAATTTTAATGATTCGATTAAGTTTTTATGGGCATTTTGAATATTAAACTCCAGTGTGTCACCAGATCAAGCTAGTCTTAAGCCAGTCAGTCAAGGAAAATGTACAAGCGCATATTTATCCACAAAAGTGCACCAAAAAAAACGAAAGAAAAACTTTTTTGTGTCTCAACTTTTTTTCTTTCCTTCCTTTTTCTTCTCCCATGAAGGATTTTCTCGCAATTTTCATATTATTTTTTTTTTTTTTCATTTACTTGTATATATATTTTTGTATTATTATCACCACATTATGATTTCACTTTGCTTTTTTACAGTTTTTAATTGCTTTATACTTTTCCTCATGTATGTTAACTTTATTATTATTCTCTTTTATATATTTTTTTTTTGTGTTTCGCCTCTTTTTGAGAAAAATCAATATGTTTACATTGTGCGCAGCTAGAGCAGAATGAGGGAAAAAAGATTTTTCAACATTTTTCAGCTAAAAAATTTTTTCTCTCTTTTCACTTTCTCTCAATTTTTTTGTGCTTCTTTCTCACTCACTTTTCTTCTTTTTCTTCTCGGGGTGCTGCAGGAAAATTGAAAAATTAAAAATGATTTTTCTTTCCTACTGTATTTTCTCTGTGTCGTCGTGATAATAGATGAAAGAAACACTGACTAAGTGCACGACCAAAGGAAAAATGAATGAATGAGACTTGAGACTGTTTGGGAAATAAGGAAAAAAAATTGAGCTTTCGAGACTTACTAGTTGTACCTCTCAAGCAATTAACATCCCCCAGAGAAAAGCGACCATTCCTTGACAGTTCTCAGAATGAGAAAAAGCTCTTCGTTTATGGATTTTTTTTTAATAAAATTTTTTTTGTACGGGATGAGTTATCCAGTTTTGTGTACGTCGTCGTTGTTTTTCCTTTCTCTCTCTCTCTCTTTTCTCTTTTTTCACTAGCATTTTCTTCTCTATTCCATTTATCATGCAATTTGCATTATGCTTTTAACTGTATCATAAATTTTCCTTAAACTATTTCTATGAATTTTTCCCAGAGCTTAATTTTTTAAGTTAAAATGCACTCGAAAGCTTTCATGAATTAAAAGCTCATTAATGTCAAGGACTCTTAATTAAATGTTCACATTAAAAATACACAATTCACTGTACACGACGATCCTCAACCAGTTTTTTAAAGACGCCATTTTTTCATACGAATTGTCCTCGATTTTCTTTTTTCTCTTACCTACTGAAATGCATGCTGGATCTTACAATAATCACAATGTTTGCCTGTCGCCTTCCTTATGCAAATCTTAAGCGACACAAATGTAATTCTTTCAGGCAGACTTTAGTCTTAAATCGACTTTTATTAACCTACCTTAAATATATTATTAAAATACACAAAAATCTTCAGAAAAACTGAACTTTTAATAAATTTTCTTTTCTTTTAAGCTTTTTTCAGCAATTATTTCTTCTTATTCTGAGATTTATTGGAATCACTTCCCTATATTTCATATATTTATTCTTTAACACACTCTTTAATGTCCCGTAATTAACAAATTTCTCGTCTTTAGTTCGTCACAAATTATTTTAATCAAGTTCCAAGTTGAGTTGTTTACCCCGTTTTTTTGAGGGACAAAGAACTTTTTTCAAATGAAATCGACGGTTATGCTTTATGATGAACGGAGATAGCTGGCGGGCTAGAATTGATTTTCCACTAAACTAATGACTTAAGAAAACACCTGACTTAATAAAATATTAATTTTAATCAATATAAAAGGCTATAGAATTTTCCAAGCGAAGCTCACTTTTTGCACAAGAAAAAACATTTTACACATGAAATACCGGGTTTTTTTTCCCACTTACCGTGTGCTTTATCGGGTGAAAGCTTCAAATATGCATACTTTGTAGTCTTGGAAAAGGTTTCTACATAATTACTAGAATAGATTTTAAGTAGACTGCATGAAATAGAGACTGAATATGTACCTAGAATAATTACTTTTTTCCACATACAATAACGTTCATATAGATGTTACACCAGAAAAAAGACTTGCACTTTTATCATTATGCACATCTTTATTTCCCATCCATATAGATACGTTTAATGTCTATTGAACAATATTTTGTTCTTATTTTATGAAATTGCACGCACACGTGTTGAAATTTGAATTTAACGGAAATTCTCCTGCATTTTTTTACAGCACTTTGAGAACTTTTGAACATAAGTTGGCTTTCCAAATTTGTGTCAAGTATTTCTAGTCGAATTAAATTCATGTGGATTTTGCAAACATGTTAAATGCAGGCAAAGTTTCTGATGACGACAAACGAATTGAAAGCAGTGAAATTTCAATCCTAATTTCGAACTTACAAAGCACCACGTTACAAGATTGGGGTGAGTCAAGTACAGACATTAAGTTCCCTCGATTTGTCAAGTTCAATGGTAGCAATTTTGATGAATTCAATGAAATTTATTAGATGTGAATTGCAATTTGAGGATATGAATGAAAAATTTGATCACTTGAATGAGGATTAAAAGTGTCTCAAAATAATATTTTCTGTTAATTCTGTTCCAGTGTTGCATTCTGGCTACATCTAATCTACACAAAGATTATTTCTACATAAAGATTCTGTCTACATAAAGATTCGATGTAGATGTCTATAATTCTACATTCTTCTCTGATGTAGACCTGGAAAAAATGTAGAATTGTAGACATCTACATCGAATCTTTATATAGATAGAATCTTTATATAGAACTAATCTTTGTGTAGATTAGATTTTCTATCTTCATGTAGAATCGATCTTCTGCAACACTGTTCTGTTCTTATAAGTTTCTGTTGTCCACTCATAATACAAATGATGCTTTATCAAGCATGATATTCGAATGCGATCAAAACGATAGTGAATGTTGCGACCGATACGCAATTATAGGTTAAACTTAGAAATTCAAATCTTTTGATGTACCCGTAAAGTATCTAAGATTGCAAAAGCATTAATTTCACAACAAAAATTGTGGAAAATTCCTTCTATTTTAAACAGTTTTTCACTTATCTATTGCTGTGTTGTGTTAAAAGTTTATTTTCTTGTTGGAAAAAGCTCTAATTAAGAATTCTTATTGGAATCTAGTTTTTGATGAAAAATTTATTCAGCAGATAATCCTAAACCTGCAATATTTCATTCTGTTATGATCAATGACTTTAAGATTAAGAATTTAATTGTGCCTACTTATGCTTATTTAACATTGAAAGATAGATTTTTATTAATTTTTTTTCATTCATCATCGACATTGGATCCTCAGCAAAAAATTGGTATAGATGAGTGATAGATGATATTCAGTTTGACTGTGTTATTACACATAAATTATGAATAAAATTTAAAAAAAAATATTTTTATATGACATCTCCCAAAACTTTGTCTTTAAATCCACGCTCTTCTCCTCCGTCAAACCATTTAGATACCATAGTATAAGTTGACACTTTGCTAAATTTCTCGACAGACCCCTATACCTTGATGGTCGTTAAAAGCTTGCCATACAAAAATATAAAGGTTATGGGATCGATTCCTGAACAAAACTTAAAGGATCACAACCAAATTTCAAGTTAAAAACTCCAAACAAATGCGCAGATGCACAAACTAGGCGGATAACAAACATTTCTACTTGTTCTTCAAGCTTCAATGAAAATTGCATCAAAAGGAAAAATCTTATTTGAATTTACTGTGAAAATGCAATTTTCTTAAGCTCATAAAGTCGTCTTTTTTTGCGTGCATAATGTAAGAGTATTGAAATTTAGGATGTCTTCATCGAACGCAACGAAAAGTGAGTGTAATTCAGTTGAAAATCGGCAAAATGTAATAAGCCGACAAAAATGAAGATTTTGGAAAAGTTTCCATAATCGAGTAGAATTAATCAGTATAATGTCATAGTACATACAATTGATTGACTTTACAATAGAATTAAGCTAGATAATATATAAATAAAATTAAATATTACACCGAATTTCATCCATTGTTGTAGGTCGTCGACGAACTTATTCGGAAGATTCTCACAAACAACTTATAGTAAAGAGTGATGAAGTAGTAGGAGCGTTGAAGAAAAGTCGTAAGTTAATCATATGCATTTCTCTTTATTAAAAATTAGTTATAATAGGGAACAAAGTATCAATTTGAGCATGACTGTATATGTTATCACTTATTGACTCTACTCTAATTGCTTACTCTAATTCACAGTTTCATCAACCTTAGAATTACCCATATCAAAGAACGATTTATCGACGGGAAGCTACGATGATTCATTAGAAGACTTATTTAATAACGCAATGACACTAAAAGTTGCGAATACAAGGCATTACTATTGTGATATATTCTCTCGTCAATCTGTTGGATCTGAAGAAGGTTGGTATAGTTGTTCGAATTATAAAGAATCTCAGACATGTAAAAATTGAGAACTTAAAATAGTCCAGAGACTGTTAATATTGTTTGTTCTCGCAGGTAATTCGAGTAGTCCTGATATCGATGATGAGTGCATAAATTTTCTTGCGAGCATTCCAAACGGCTGTGAAATAATTCAACTTATACCAAAAAAACCTACTGCTGTCATTCCAAATGCAATGTATCAGCCAGATTGTACAAATATACAAAATATGAGAATATTAAAATCATCATGCTCTGCATTCCGGGATATTTCGGAAATTAATAAAATTACAAAATCACAGACTGACAACGATGATAATGAAGATGATGGTAAAAAGGAAGAAGTCGAGAGGAAGGAAGTTTTCGATGGTGCAAGTTCATCTAGTCACGCTTGAAAAATGGGGAATAATCACAAATAATAAAAAATTAATAATCAATATAAATACAGACGACACACAAACAAATACACACACACACAATACACACATATACAACTATCTTCTTTAAATACACACAAAACAAAGTGATACCTGAGATCATTTCAAATCTAATCATTCATCATCAATCATTCTAAGAATGAAGTTTAATAAGATATTAAAATTTAAACACAACCTGTAACGAAGAGGCTTAAGACATGAGGTAATGAGAAAATGAATTTGAGAAACTCAAAATTTTCTTCTTTTTTAAAAGGAACAAAAAAATAAATAAAGTCACTGCTTCCTTGTCAGTGACTTGTGCGCATTTTTGTCGAAGTACGGATCGTTAAGGATCTCATGTTAATAAAAATTACTATTTAGGATATAAAAGAATTTGGTATATCCATCAACATATTTTAACGATGGAATCCAAAAAAATCAAAATTTAAAATTAATTTTTTAGAAATTTGATGACTAGAATATGTGGAAATTGATGGTCGAAATCTAGGTGTACAGATAAAAAATGTTTTGGATAAATTAGATAAAAAGTTTTTTTAAAAAAAAAGTTTCGAACAGCAACATCAGCCATACTCCGAGAAAAATGCGTTAAAGAAATGGGAATTGCACTTTTAAAATCATAATTATACATTGCATGCATGTCTAGGATGTAATTGACTTTTGAAAGTGCGACTGCTCGTAAATCTTTAGGCAAAAAAATTATTTTTTTACATTTTCTAATAAGTAAGGACATATAAAATATGAGAAATAAGATACGACTGACTGTCAAAGAATAATAAAAATCGTGAATTTCATTTTTTTCTGTATGTTTAACAAAAAAATGTAGTAAATGATCAAAATTTTATATTGAAATGAAGTTAAAGTAAAAATGAGAGAATAAATTAAGAAATTCTTTTTCGGAAACTTTTAGGAAATTTAGAAACAAAAAAAAAACAGCTTTTTGCTTTTGTTCATCTCATGTAAACCATTTTCAGATGCTGAAAGGCATGACACATCAAAAGGAAATTTTCAAGAAGGTAGATAATAGGGGTAGAGAGGATTGTGCCAAAAACGATAAAAAAGGAGTTGTGCAGAAGTGATGTCTTCGAGACAATGTGATTAAAAAGCTTAATAATGCGATAGCCTTCCCGATTTCTCGATCTCGACTAATTCTCAAGAACGAGACCGAGATTTCCCGGAATATATTGACTTCGCTATCGGGAAAGCATAATATTAGGCAAGAAAACTAGGTCATTATGTTTTAAGACTGGCTTTTATCGAAAATTAGATCAAGTTGAATCAGGCTTCAATCAAAACCTTTTGCCTCCTTTAAATAAATCTTTGATTGAACCTCAAAGAAAGAATTGGCATTGAAGTTGAGAATCATTTCATTTCCAGCTTTTTAATTTACATCCACACATGCAGATACGAAACACATAAGTAATTATTTATGTATTCAGAATGCACAGTCATTGAAATGTTTCAAAATTAATGATGAATGAAAATTATTCAAAGCATGAAATTTTTTTCACTCCTTCATTCGAAGCAAATTTCTTTAAAAAGCAATCCTTCTCGTTGGGTAAGTAGGTTAACAGCACATAATTTAGAACAAGCTATAATCACAGAATTCTCTTTTCTGCGACTTTTTAATGGGGATTTATGTAATTGAGCGGTTCAAAAGCTGTTCTAGGAAATGCCTTTTCAAAAACCATTGCTTTCAGCTCTTTTGAAATTTTTTATGCTATAGTCGTGGGATGATTCTTTTGAATTTCTATGGCTTAGTCCTTGATGAATGTTTATTTTTACTACGAACTTGAATGATGAAAATAACTGTATAGTTTAAATGAAGCTTTCAATGCTTAAAATGGCGTTTTAGGTAACATTTGGCTGGCTTGAACCTGACAATCTGGGATTGAAGCAATACTAAATCATTTTGATACACAAACAACTCGTTCAAGAATCCGAAATCTTACAAAACTTGCAAGTGTCCTCCATCCATGGAAACATCATATTACCAAGTCAATCCATCTCATCATCATTTCTACTTAAACATGCCCGCAACCGAAGGCGGGAAAAAAAATTTCGGAGTTGAATAACACTTGACAACCTTTTCATCGCTAAGAAGGAAATAATCCTGAAAGAAAATGTACAAGTGTGTATTTCACAATACTTACATAAAATTTCTCCCAAGTTCAACAACATTAAGCAAAGTGTTACTGAAAATTCTATGCTCCATTAAGAAAAGGAAAAGGCATTTAGAATTGCTTACATTTTATAGGCTTCTTTCATTTATTTACGATATCTGCTCTTTGTCATAAATAATTTTGAATGAACAATTCTCATAAAATTCATTTTTATTTATTTTTTTATATGCAATGCTTAACTATTAAGGATTATAAATCTAAATGAAATAAGAAAGAAAAAAAAATGAACAAATTTTTTCCAAAATATAAGACGAAAGTGATGTGTATGCGATATATAAAATATAATTTTTTTTTTTCTCAAATAACAGCAAAAATTAATTAAAATTATAGGTGATGAATATTTTTTTTTTGTTGAAAATTTTTATAAATATAATTTTTGGGATTCCAATCATCTTTTTTGCTTAAAAAATAATTTTTAATCAATATACAAATTTCTATACAATCCAAAGCTTTTTTTATTTTTTAAATTTTTTTATATATTTTTTTTTCTAGGTTTTAAACTTTCAAGCGAACAGTGAAACTAGTTTATATATTTATATTTTTCATTTATTTCTGGTCTTTGATGGGTGAGTTGCTAATGTACTTGATAGTTCTGGGTCTGATAGGTACTTGATTTAGTTTGAATTGAAGAGACTTTTGTCACTAGCTGGAACGGGGACGGTAGCTTAGTTGTCATCAAACATGATAACTGACTCAATGTTTGGTCCATTTATGTCTTTTAAGTAGAACATTAGAGGATATTCTAATATTCTTAAGAAGCTATATCATGATATGAAAACCCTAGTCTTATAGATAATTTAAACATGGCAAGTGCCAGCTCAAATGTTCATGAAATTGTAAAGATGAAGCCATCAAATAGCACTTTTCAGCTCCCACTCAGTAAGTATAACCAAATTAAGACATCAAATTGTACCTTAAATCTCTTCAACTTTCACCTTTCTTAAAGGTTATCAAAAGCAGATGAAAGCTTCCTTTCAACACAGAAGCCATACTCATCTCTCACGTTTTCTTTTAAATCCCAGATAACAACTCCACCTTGAGGAATTTTCAATTAATTTTTCATTTAGATTTTCTTTTCAGAAGCCGAGAAGAAAAATGAAAAACAATAGACAAGGAAGAATTTTTTTATATATTTTTTTTTCTAGGTTTTAAACTTTCAAGCGAACAGTGAAACTAGTTTATATATTTATATTTTTCATTTATTTCTGGTCTTTGATGGGTGAGTTGCTAATGTACTTGATAGTTCTGGGTCTGATAGGTACTTGATTTAGTTTGAATTGAAGAGACTTTTGTCACTAGCTGGAACGGGGACGGTAGCTTAGTTGTCATCAAACATGATAACTGACTCAATGTTTGGTCCATTTATGTCTTTTAAGTAGAACATTAGAGGATATTCTAATATTCTTAAGAAGCTATATCATGATATGAAAACCCTAGTCTTATAGATAATTTAAACATGGCAAGTGCCAGCTCAAATGTTCATGAAATTGTAAAGATGAAGCCATCAAATAGCACTTTTCAGCTCCCACTCAGTAAGTATAACCAAATTAAGACATCAAATTGTACCTTAAATCTCTTCAACTTTCACCTTTCTTAAAGGTTATCAAAAGCAGATGAAAGCTTCCTTTCAACACAGAAGCCATACTCATCTCTCACGTTTTCTTTTAAATCCCAGATAACAACTCCACCTTGAGGAATTTTCAATTAATTTTTCATTTAGATTTTCTTTTCAGAAGCCGAGAAGAAAAATGAAAAACAATAGACAAGGAAGAAAAGCAGATTATTTTACCGAGTGATGTAAAATCATTGAAGATTGCTGTTTTTGGAAGCATTTAGAAATTGTCACTAATTCAGCATCAAAAATTGTCATTTGAGTTGCCAAGCAATAATCTTCATTTTACGATTGAGCACATCGTTCGGATCGGATGGATGAAAAACAAATAAAAAGATTTTTGATGCTTGTATTTTAAATGGAAAAGAAGAGTCACTACATCCTATATAAAAATCACGAATAAATCTTTTTCATTTGAATTGGATATAAACTTTTTTTTACGGCATAAAATAAAAATTCGTATGAGGAAGGGAGGGAATCCATAAGAATTAATAAATATTGTTGATTATTATTTTTTTATTCAATTCTTGCTGTTGTTGTGTGTGATGTAAAGAAGAAGCTGTCTAGAGGCGCTGCACAAAATGCTAAAAAATTTAAGCTGCTCTTTATGTGAATATTACAGTATAATAAGTAAATCCAACTATAGTGCGACTACTCAGAGAAAGTCCAATGCGGGCTTGCCGAAAGACTAAAAAAATTAAAAGGAAGAAAGAATGAGAAGGTCTTATTAAAAAATCATCAAAAGGAATATCTCATATTTTATTTAAGAATTTCGGAAGGAGAAGAAGAGAAAGAAACAATGTTGGGTGGAAAATTTGCATGACAATTGATGAAAAGCCTTGACTTGTGTACACAATAAAGTTTTTCATTAATTGGCAGCTTCTGTTTGTTATTTAAATTCTAAATCGATTAATTAAGTTTCAGCGAGGCACCGAGATTTAGTGACGAGTTATTATGGATGGATTTATGAGCTTTTTGCGAATGCTTTGTTTCAACTTCCAGGAATTTTTCTACGTGCACATTTGAAACTAGCGCATTGCACTCATCCATCCTAAATGACTCCTTACTTGTTTCTCGCGAATCTCGATTTGAATTTCAATTTTGTGAGGATTTCTGTTTACTTCTTTCGTATTCGAGTGGGATTGAAAATTCAATTCATTTGTCGTCGTTTTTATGGATTTAAATGAAATATTTTGCTGAACTTTACACGAATCTTAAGCAGTTCGTAAATATATCACATGAAGACATAGAAAGTTATACATTTGTGTCAATCATTCTGTAGCTTAAAGACACTTGTAAATAAATAACTCGAGACTTTAAAAGATCTTTTATTAAACATTTAATGCAATTTTTTTATCGTACGGAAAGTAGTGAAAACTTTTCCATTTTCTCACGTACAGTTTCTCATCATGTCATTTTAATTTTTAAGAGCTATCTGTATACTGTAAAATTTATTTCCACATCAAAACTTGAAACTCATAAATTGTTGAATTCTAATTCCAATAAAAATGTCAAGTGAATTTAATCGAGCATGAGAAATCCCATTGTGGGAACTGTAAATTGACATGTTGCAGTCTAGTTTGCAACAGATGGAA